TCAGATGAGTTAGATTCAGGAAGAAAAGTCATTGTGGAAATGTCAGGTATTAGAGAAAGGCATGTGGAAGAGCATAGCCTGTCACCCCTCTCCATGTCTTTCAGTGAGAGATTACCTCCACAGAAAAGTTTATTTTAATCTCAGAGTACCATTTTCCCCTCTCACAATCTCTGACCTACTTTTTTGTTGTTTGAGGGGGGCCACGTCCAGCAGTGCCTTATTCTTTGTAGGTGCACACTCAGGGGTCACTCAGTGCTTGGGGGACCAAGTAGCATATCAGAGCAATCTCTGATTGGGTGGGCCACATGCAACACAAGTGCCTTCTGTACTCTCTCTAACCCCCAGTCCCTGACTTTCTTATCCTCTTTTCTTTCATTTATCCCTTAGAAATCCCGTGGAAGTTCTCTGGTCTTACCCTTTTACGTTTTGGGACATATCCAGCAGTGCTAAGGGCTTCCTTCTGCTCTGTGCTTGGTGGGGGAATCGGGGGAGGGGAAGATACATAGTGTGAGGATCAAACAGAGTCAACATCTTGCAGTGCAAGTGCCTTAACTCCCTATGTTTTATGTCCTGTCCCACTCTTTTACCTTTTTCTGAGAAAGTTACTGCCTTATTATTTGTTCTTTTAGTTATTTGTTCTTTCAGAGTTGGAATCTAACAGATCTGTTATACTTTTTTTCCCTGTACTTATTTCTCTGGTGAAGTTTTTGTACTTCAAGGCTAACCCACCTCTAGACTCCTTTGCTGTACCTAGAACTTACTGAACTAGAAAATTGTGGGTTACGTCTCTTGTTGTAAAATACTTGCTTCCTTTTGTCATTTTAATATTTGATATTGTTGTATTTTTTCACTGTTCATGTCAAGTGTTTTTATAACATATGAGACCTTGATAGAAATCAAAGTTTTTCAAATCTATTTGGCAATAGTGGCTGCTGACATCGTGATACTATTCAATAGAAAGCTTTCGATTTCTTTTCTTAGCCAAAGTATCGGACAGAAGAGACAAATGTGGGGGTGCTTGGGGAAACCTTAGTACAGTGTCACATGGCAGATGAATGGTAACTTCATTTGGAGGATATTGAAGGTAATGAAAAAGGAACAGATTAGACCTGGACTTGCTAAGTATTACTAGATAGAGAATTTTAGACTGATTTACACAAAAACTTTAACTTAGCTGATCATAATTTTCCAGCTAGAGAATATTTGACCTTTCTGCATGGAGTGCTTACAGAATGGGATGCAGCTTAACAGAGGAAGATGTTTTATCTTTGTCTTCATAGCTCTACATGAGCCACAATATAGTGTGTAAAAGAATGTTTGTGATTACACTGATCGTGGGAGTCTCAGAAAGGAGTCACTCCTATTATCTCTATTTTATGATTTAGGACAACAGCAGCAAGCTTCATATTATCAGCATTTCCCTCCACAAGCCACAATAATTACCCTCTTTATTGTCACTCAAAAAATATTTCCTTATTACATTAGTTACTACCTATATAATAAATACTAAGATTCTATAACTTATTAGGTGTTATATTTAATTCACCTCTTGTTTTGTTTTGGAGCCATACCCTGTACTACTCGGGGCTGACTCCTGGCTCTGTGCTGAGGGATCACTCCTATTTCTGGTACTCAGAATGTAGTTCCGGGGAACAAAGCTGGGCTTGCCACGTGTAAGGCAAGCAAGCAGCTTCCTCACTTTGTGACCCCATACTTTGTTATTTTTAAGTGTACACCACTGCACACTGTTATTTTACTCTTCAAGTTCTTGTAAAGGAATTTGAAATTAAGTACTCAAAGTAAATCTTTTCTTTTTTCCTTTTTGGGTCAAACCTGGCGATGCTCAGAGGTTACTCCTGGCTCTGCACTCAGGAGTTACTTCTGGCTGGTGCTCAGGGGACCATATGGGATGCTGGGAATTGAACCTGGGTCGGCCGTGTGCAAGGCAAACACCCTACCTGCTGTGCTATCTCTCCAGCCCCCAAAGTAAATCTTATCATTGGGCTAGACTATAAATGTCTAGAATGTGGGGGGGGGGGGGGGAAGGATTCTTATTAAAGTGTATTTTAAACCTAGATTATTTCAAAAATCACCCAGGCAGAGGTCTGCATTTTGCAGTAATTAAAACATTCTAATTACTTGTATCTTTCCTACAAATATTGTCCCTTGACTACGAGTCAGATGGCAGCTTGGTATTCTGGGAGCCCTGGGTGATATGACATAAGCTCATAAATTATAAACATTTCCACATTCCCCCTATGCCATCTTCATCCTTTTTAGTTGTCACCCCGAGGAAGCCACTTGAGGCCAGGGTCTCCTTACAATTCTGCTAGCTCCCCCAGGGGAGGAGCCATTCATAGGGTATCTTGGAGCTTTTCAGCACTAATCTTTAGTGCCATATTGGTTGAGCTGTATTCTTAGAAGAAATGTTCATGGATGAATGCTTACTTTCATCTCTCACACCAGAAAGCTGTGCTTATAAGTTGCAGCTTACAGACTTCTAAAAAGCCATCTTCCCCAGCTGCCTTTCTCTATACAGCCAAATTGGAATATGGAGCAATAGTGAGCAGTTGGAACCAATAGCTAAAGCATTCTTTCTCCATAGCGATTTCTTCTGATCTCTGCCCAACTCTTTTCATTTTCTAGGGACCCAAACGAACCAAGTTACCTCAAGCAAGATCATGAGACACACCTAGAAATTTCCTTTTCTTGTTTTTTTCCCCTTCTTTTATTTATTTATTTAGTTTTTGGGTCACACCCTGCAATGCCCAGGGGATACTCCTGGCTTTGCATTCAAGATTGCTCTGAGACCAGATGAGATGCCAGGGATTGAACCTGGGTCAAGTGCCTGCATGGCATGGACCTTACCTGCTGCACTATTTCTCTGGCCTATAAATTTCTGAATCTCACTTTAAGTTCCATTTAAGATCCTGAGTGTATTTACGCACAAATACTAATAATGGGCCATAGAGATAGTACAGCAAGGGTGTTTGACTTGCAAGCAGCCAATCTAGGTTCAATTCCTAGCACCTCATGTGGTCCTAAAACAAAACAACAAACATCAAGGGCTGAAGAGATAGAGCAGTAGATAGGATGCTTGCTTGCCTTGTATATGGTCGATTGGGGCTCAGTCTTTATCATCCCATATGGTTCCCTGAGCACCGCCAACTGTGACCCCGCCCCTCAAAAAACCACCCCATTTTAATATATATAAAATATTTATTATATATAGGGCTGGAGTGATAGTACAGCGGTAGGGCGTTTGCCTTGCACGCAGCCAACATGGCCGACCTGAGTTCGATTCCTGGCAAGCTACCCGTGATATATTCGATATGCCAAACACAGTAACAACAAAGTCTCCAATGGAGACGTTACTGGGCCCGCTCGAGCAAATTGATGAACAACGGGAGAACAGTGACAGTGATATATATATTTATATTTTTGTGTAATGTGTGTGTATTGTGTACACACACACACACACACAACACGCACAAGTAATTGAAGAAATAATACAGTAGTAGGGCAACTTCCTTGTATGCAGCCAGCCCAGGTTCAATCCATGGTGCACTATATGATCCCCAAAGCACCAGGAGTGAACTCTGAATGCAGAACCAGGAATAAGCCCTGAGCACTGCCCAGGTGTGACCCTCCCCCCACTCAAGCAAACAGAAACATACTAGTAGTGTTCATTATCAGCAGATTGCAAGAATTTCCATGAAAAGCAATTCTGTCATTCTGGCTTATTTGCTTTGTAGGCAGCAGATGGTAGAAAGGTAGCTAGGCTAAGATCATACAGGAAAACAAATAGGGTTAGGGTTAACCAAATTTTTACCTCTGTTGTAATTGACTTTTTTCGTCTTAAGATGGAAAAAATAAGTGCATAATATCTACTTTTGAGAGTGAAAAGGGACACTTAATTTTTTAAATTTATTTTTATTTTAATTTTTATTGAATCACCATGAGATAGCCCCTCTCGGAGAGCCCGGCAAGCTACCGAGAGTATTCGATATGCCAGACACAGTAACAACAAAGTCTCCAATGGAGACGTTACTGGGCCCACTCGAGGCCTTATTATGAGATAGTTAAAAAGCTTTCATGTTTCAGTTTCAGTCATACAATGATCGAACACCCATCCCTCCACTAGTGTACATTTTCCACCACCATTGTCCCCAGTATCCCCCCCCCCCATCTCAACCCTCCCCCTGCCTCTGTGGCAGACAATTTCCCCCATACTCTCTCTCTACTTTTGGGCATTATGGTTTGCAGTATTGGTACCGATAGGCTATCACATTTGATCCTTTATCTACTTTCAGCACACAGCTCCCATCCCGAACGATCACTCCAACCATCACTGACATAGTGATCCCTTCTTTATTCAGCTGCCTTGTCCCCCACCTCATGAGGCAGGCTTCCAGCTGTGGAGCAGTATTCCTGGCCCTTGTCTCTACTGTTCTTGGGTGTCAGTATCATATTATTTTATATTCCACAAATGAGTGCAGAAGGGACACTTTATTTTGTCAGTACAGTAAGAACATATCATTTAAATATAATTCAGCTGTTATATAAACTTCTAAAAAGCTATTTTTTACTAAATTACTGAATTACTAAATTGCCCAAGTTATTTACCAAATCGTGTTTTGTTCCTGGTTTTATTTCATTAAGAAAAAAAAAAAGTCTTCATTTTGGAGGGTCCAGGATAGTTGAGTAACAAAGACCTCCATTGCAGGTGTGAGGCAGCTAGTTTTTGTATATTTTGAATGCCAACCCATGATTGCAGTGGCACTACTGTTTGGGATCCATGTGGCCATAAGGTGTGTGATTTCTAGCACACCACAATCAAGTGTGTGTGACTCTCAGTCATTTCAGCAGCAGAATCTTTATTTCTTGTTTGCAAGTTTCTTTCTTAGAACTATTTGTGGTTTTATTCTGTCTGATTAGTATTCATTTTTTTTTTTTTTTGGTCATCACAAACTAGAAGTGTTTTCTTATTTTTAATATAGATGCAGAGTTTGCAAGGTGGCACAGAAGCTATAGCCCGATTGGATCAGTTAGAAGCTGATTATTATGATCTTCAACTTCAGTTGTATGAAGTACAGTTTGAAATCTTAAAGTGTGAGGAGTTACTATTGACAGCACAACTGGAAAGCATCAAAAGACTAATATCAGGTATGGTGTGCATTTAACGACATTGCATTGCACTGCACTGTCATCCGTTGTTCAATTTGCTCGAGTGGGCCCAGTAATGTCTCCATTGTGAGACTTGTTGTTACTGTGTTTGGCATATTGAATACATCACGGGTAGCTTGCCAGGCTTTGCCATGTGGGCCAGATACTCTCGGTAGCTTGCTGGCTCTCCCGAGCGGGCAGAGGAATCGAACCTGGGTCAGCCGTGTGCAAGGCAAATGCCCTACCCACTGTGCTATCATTCTAGCCCATTTAACCACATTAATCTGACAAAAGATTGAGAATACGTAGGATTTACCTGGATGGATGCCAGCTGTCTTTTCTCTTTGAGACTATTAAAGACGTCAAGTAAATTCTTTCAAAGAAGTTTCTAAAGTCAAATAAGTGTTTCAGTAGATTCAGCAAAACAACAACTTATATTATTACCTTTAAAACAATTATTACAGGACCAAATAAGCAGATAGGATGCATGCCTTGCACACAACTGACCCAGGTTAGATCCTGGCATCACATGTGGTATCCTGAGCCCCTCCAGGGGTGATCTCTGAGCATAGAGCCAGATGTAGGCCCTGAGCGCAACCAGATGTAGCCCAAAAACAAAACCTTCAATCATACTCTGGATTTAAAAAAAATTGAAGTTTTAGGAGCAAGGGATGGTATTTAATATATTGAACATTTAACTGCTAGTCACTACTTAGAATTTTCTGCATCTATATTTGCCCCCAAATGAAGTGTATTTATAGTCAGTTTTGCAAAGCTCAACAATACCAGAGGTAATGGCTTTGCTTAGGAGATTATAAATCTAGTGAGTGGACTGGAAGCATGTTATGTTTGGAAGACCATGTTTGTAACTATTATCTATTGTTGCTGTTGTGTAACAGAAAAGAGAGATGAAGTGGTGTACTATGACACTTATGAAAGCATGGAGGCCATGCTTGAGAAGGAAGAGATGGCAGCATCTATGCATTTACAGAGAGAAGAACTACAGAAACTTCAGCAGAAAGCTCGCCAGCTGGAAGCAAGACGTGGACGGGTTTCAGCCAAGAAAGCCTACCTCAGAAATAAAAAGGTATGTTCAATATCTATTGAATGTATAACCTTAATTTTAAATCTTACTTTTATTCATTACCTAATCTTTATATAAATGAGTTTGACTGGCATCTTTATTTTATTCTGTGTGTGTGTATTTAATTGAATCACTGTGAGGTAGACCACCACAAAGTTATTCATGGCTGGGTTTCAGTCATAGAGTGTTCCAAAACCCTCCACCAGTGTACATTTACCACCACCAGTATCCCCTGGTTTCCCTCCCACTACCACCCAACCCCTCCTTCTTTCTTTGTCTCTATGACAGGCTCGCTCCTTCCTTCCTCCCTCCCTCCCTCCCACATTCCCACCCTCCCTCCCTCCTCCCTCTCCTCCTCCTCCATCCACTTCCCTCCTTCTTTCCCTCCTCCCCCCTCTTCCCCCTTCCTCCTCTCTTCTTCTCTCTCTGTCTCCTTCTCCCTCTCTCTCCCTCCCTTCCCTCCCCTTGTGCATTATGGTCTGCAATACAGGTACCAAGAGGTCATTGTATTGTTCAGGGCATTCCCATTCTTATCAGGAAGGTACATCCAAGCAGCTATTTTTTAACTGGGTGACAGCTTTGAGCTGTGGACATGACTGCAGGGACTTCCAGAGGAATAGGGAGTGGGGGGAGGTAGCCCATCCTGACCCTGAGAAAGCCTGGAGATTTCAGTCACAAAAACCTAATACCCGAGTTTTCAGCAGATTATGTCTCGGTGAAGTCTGGCCAGGGGTGTAGCAGCAATTTTGGATTATGGAGCAGGCAGCTGCAGGGGGCTCTGTTTGGGTGGGCACCAGGTGTCCACCTCTGATCTACCCCAGTCTATTCAGTGGGTCCGTAATTAATTGCAACTTTTCATCTCTTTCGAGATTCACATAAGGGCCTCTGAAGTGAGACCAGTAGAAGAACTTACATGGTGGTGCCAGAGTTGGTTCATGAGGATGACTGCTGGTGCTCCCAGGAGTATTGGGAAGTTGGGGGAGTTAGCCCATCCTGACTCCAAGAAAGCCTGGAGGTTTCAGTCACAAAACCCACATATCTGAATTTTCGGCAGATTTATATCTCTGTGAGGTCTGTCCCAAGACATTGAAGTCTGCCCGAGGGCATGACCATGATTTGGATTGTGGGAGCAAATGGCTGCTGGGGGTCTGCCCCCCCACCCCACGCCTAGCTCCTCTCCCATCTACGCTGGTCTGTTCAGCTTTGCACAGGTCCAAGGTTAACTACGGGTTTTTTTGTTTTGTTTTTTAATCTCATTTAAGATTTAATTTTTGTGTCTCTGGGGCAAGGCTGATAAATGAGTGAGAAATGGTTTGTGGGTGTGGTTCCTACATTAGCTAACTTTTTGGCATTACCTAACTTTTGGAAATCTTGATCCTTAGTTGTTGGATCTGGCCAGAGGCAAAATGGCAGTTTTGGGGCTTCAGGAAGTCTGAGGGCACCATAGCTCCCTATGTTTAGGTTGACCTATCCGTAGCACTGTACCCTCATGGCCCCAGTGGCGGTGACAATTGTGGCCTCAGCAGGGAACAGGGCTACTGCAACTCGCAGCTTAGGCACTTTCCATGGGCCGTAGCACCAGTCCAGCAGAACCTGTCCAGAAGACATGCCCCCATCCTCAGTCTCCAGACAATTGTCACTCAGGGAGGCCCGCCTCCATAATATGCTGCAGGTACCACTGGCAGCATGAGCTGGTCCGAGGAAGAAATGGTGGTGGGGGTGCCCTGCCAGCAGTGAGGTGATTGAGCTGGCCTTCATGGTGAGAATCTAGGCGCCTTCTCAACTTAGACCTATGCTCTGTGGTGGTGCCAAGTTGGACCCAAAGAACCTTACTCATTCACACCGAACATCTGCCACCACAGTGGCCAGCTGTCCATGGCACTGAGAGCTGTCATAGCTCTGCCAGCTTCGGAGCCCGCACCGCTGCCGTTTACAGGAGTTCCACTCCAGCTGTTGCTCCACTGTTGGCTCCAGTTTGGTTCCACTTAAAGCTACTCTTTTTGAGAGGAAATATTTAAAGGACACTTATAGCCATTCATGTAGAAATTTTATGACCCCATCAGCCCCACTGTTCAGAATGCTGAGAGCTTCCCCTTTCTCAGTAGTCAGTACACTAGGTAGGGTGTGTGCCTTGCATGTGGCCACCCAGAAATGATCTCCAGCAGCTCATATGGCCCCCAAGCATTGCTAGGAGTGATCCCTTGGTGTAGAGCCAAGAGTAAGCCCTGACTACAGCTTGCTGTGGTCTACAAACAAATAAAAAGGTCACTAGTTGGTCATTATATAAAATATGTATTGTTTGCAGAGAATTGCCCTCCTAAACATTGATATAATCAGTAATGCTAAGTATTTACCTCAGAAGCCCTAAAATGGACTTTTCTTAAGCTTGGCTATAGAATACCATGTAATAAAATTCCTGATTATTCAAGAAAATCATGGATATTCTTTAGTTATGTACTGGTTTTGACATTACCTTGAAAGATATAGCTAGATAATAACATACATAATTGATTATATTTCAAAATGTTCTTTTTTAATAATTAGAAAGACATTTTTTGTTAGAAATGTAATTCTCCTCTACCCCTTCTTTGTCCTAGAAAAATGGTTTCTAGTTAAGATGCTATGGTGGATTTGTTTCTAAGAATGTTAGAAATATTGTTTTTTTTTTAATGTTTTTATTTTATTTATTTTTTTATTAGTGAAACACCATGAGGTACAGTTATAGACTTACAGATTTTTGTGCTTGGGTTTCAGTTATACAATGATCAAGTACCCATCCCTCCACCAGCGCCCATCCTTCACCACCACGGGTCCCAGCATCCCTCCCACCCCCCATTCGCCCGATCCCACCCTGCCTCTGTGGCAGGGCATTCCCTTTTGTTCTCTCTCTCTCTCTCCTTTTGGGTCCTGTGGTTTGCAAGAGAGGCATTGAGTGGCAATCATGTTCGGTCTATAGTCTACTTTCAGCATGCTTCTCCCATCCTGGGAGGATCCTCCCAACACCCTTTATTTGGTGCTCCCTTCTCTATCTGAGCTTCCTTTTCCCCTAGCGTGTGCGGCTGTCCTCAAAGCCATGGAGTAATCCTCCTGGTACTTATCTCGGCTATTCTTGGGTGTTTAGTCTCCTATTTTGTTACTTTATGTTCCCCAGATGAATGCAATCTTTCTATGTCTATCCCTCTCTTTCTGACTAATTTCACTTAGCATGATACTTTCCATGTAGTACCACTTGTATGTAAATTTCATGACTTTATCTTTTCTAACAGTTACACAGTACTCCATTGTATAAATGTACCAAAGTTTCTTTAACCAGTCATCTGTTCTCGTGCACTCAGGTTTTTTCCAGATTCTGGCTATTGTAAAGAGTGCTGCAATGAACAAAGAAGTGTAGATGTCACCTCGACTATACTTTTTTGCCTCTCTGGGATATATTCCCAGGAGTGATATTGCTGGGTCAAATGGGAGCTCAAATTCTAATTTTTTGAGAATCATCCATACTGTTTTCCAAAAGGGTTGAACCATTTTGGAAACTGCATTCCCACCAGCAGTGAAGGAGGGTCCCTTCCTTGCCACATCCGTGCCAGCACCAGTTGCTTTTGTTCTTTTGGATGTGAAATACTGTTTTATGTATTCTTTTTATTGTATAATGTAGCACTTTAGAAACTAGATTGTGGTCTTAGTTTTTTAAGAGCATTTAAAAGAAAATTCTGTTTAAGATGTTTAACTGATTCGATTTAACAACATGTTAATAATTGCGGCAACATGGGAAGATGCCATTGTTGACAACATTGACGAGGAATACGATCGACTGGTTCAGCACCTCCATGAATGTGCGAGGAACGCCAAGAGAGAGATAGCCACAAAAAATCGCCTATCTTCGAAAACTCTTGAGCTAATTCACCAGCGTGGTTTGGCGCATGCCTCAGGCAACTGCAAGCTAACGTCCGAGCTGCAAAGCAGTGCAGAGATGCGATCAAGGAAGACCTCAAAGAGAGAAGAACAGAAGTACTGGTAGATGCGGCAGAAGCCGGGAAAAGTATTCGTAACGCCCGCCTGTCCTTCGCCAACTACAAGACCAAGATGACTGCCCTCCGACGTCCTGATGGATCCATCACATCCTCCAGAATGGCAATGGAGAAGATTATCCATGACTTCTACTCAAATCTCTTCGATAGCCATGTCCACTTGCCAACATACCAAATTCCACAGGATGGATATGTCGTTCCCAACGTTCTCCCTTCCGAAATCCGACACGCCATTTCGTAGGTAAAGAAACAAACAGCACCCGGCCCAGACAAGATCAGACCTGAACACCTGAAGAACCTGCCGTCAGTACTCATCAATACACTGGCTCGGCTCTTCACTCGCTACCTGTCTGAATGCAAGGTTCCGTCCCAATGGAAAACCAGCAGGACCGTACTACTGTTCAAGAAGGGAGACATCCATGACATTGGCAACTATCGCCCGATCTGCCTATTGTCTGTCATCTACAAGTTGTTCACTCGAGTCATCCTAAATAGGATTGGCAGAACACTAGATGAAGGACAACCATGCGAGCAAGCCGGGTTCCACAAAGGATTCAGCACCATCGACCATATCCACACGATAAACAAGCTCATTGAGGTTTCTCGGGAGTTCAAGATGCCGCTCTGTTTAACGTTCATTGATTTAAAGAAGGCCTTTGATTCTGTTGAGACGGAAGCGGTCATTGAAGTCCTAGCCAATCAGGGCATTCAAGCCCAATACATCAGGATCCTCCGTGAGCTGTATTGCGGATTCACTACCAGGATCTCACCATTCTACAAAGAAGTGATCGTTGACGTCAAGAGAGGGGTGCGGCAGGGTGATACCATTTCACCGAAACTCTTCAGTGCCACCCTCGAGAACATCATGCGACGACTGGAATGGGAAGGAATGGGAGTGAAGATAGATGGTCGGCAACTACACCACCTCCACTTTGCTGATGACATTGTTTTAATAACACCAAACATCAGCCAAGCAGCACAAATGCTGGCCGACTTTGACCGTGAGTGTGGAAAGGTAGGACTACAGCTGAATCTTACGAAGACAATGTTTATGAGAAACAGCCTTGTTCCTGATGCCCCATTCGCTCTCAACGAAACGACCATCTCCGAATGCAACAGTTATGTGTACCTAGGTCGAGAAGTCAACATGACAAATGACCTGGCACCCGAGCTGCGCAGGAGGAAGAGAGTGGCTTGGAACGCTTTCAAGAACGTTGAAGAAATAGCTAAGAGGACGAAGAACCTCCAGCTCCGGGCACATCTCTTTGATTCCACTGTTCTTCCTGCATTAACATATGCCTCAGAGACCTGGGCCCTACGCAAACAAGATGAGAACGCTATTCAGGTCTCCCAAAGAAGAATAGAAAGAGCTATGCTTGGAATATCACGTTTCACTCAAATGAGAGAAAGAATCCGGAGTTCCAACATCTGTCAATGATCAAGAATCAGGGACGCTGTCTCCTTTGCCAAGGTGTCAAAGATCAGATGGGCTGGTCACGTAATGAGATTTAAAGACGACCGCTGGACTAGAGCTGTTACTGACTGAATTCTACGGGATGTCAAAAGACCACGTGGCCGCCCACGTACCAGATGGTCAGACTTCTTCGTGAAGATCATGAACAATCGGTTTGAGGCTCTTCATGTTCCCAGAGCGAACAGATGCCATTGGGCTACACTAGCACGCGACAGGGACAAATGGAGACGTTACTGGCGCCCGCTCGAGCAAATCGACAACTAACAGGAAGTTAAGTGATTAAGTGATATGATGAGATACCGCTTCTATCAGTCTTAGAGACGTCAAACCAAATAAACAGTGATAACCACTGATACTTTAGCAAGATCCGGGAATGAGAAAATAGAGGTATCTTTTGGACTGGATTTTGAAATCTGAATAAAAATTTGCCAGATTTCATTGTTACTTTGATTTGTATTTCCATAATGATTAGTGATATAGAGCTTTTTTTTTCTTTTCTCTTTTTGGGTCACACCTGGCAATGATAGGGGTTACTCCTGGCTTTGCACTCAGGAATTACTCCTGGCGGTGCTTGGTAGACCGTATGGGATGCTGGGAATCAAACCCGGGTTGGCCACATGTAAGGCAAATGCCCTACCCACTGTACTATGACTCCAGTCCCTGATATAGAGCATTTTTTCCCTGTGCTTTTTGGCATTTGTATTTCTTTGAGGAAGTTTCTGTTCATTTCTTCTCCCCATATTTTGATGGAGTTGGATTATTTTCTTGTAAATTCTACCACTTAATATTTTGATATCAAATGAGTGTTGGGTATATACTTCTCCCTCTTCCATGTATCCTGGTCACCATTTCCTTTGAGATGTAGAAGCTTCTCAGCTTACTGTAGTCCCATTTATTATTTTTTCCACTTAATTGGTCATCAGTGTTTCATCTTTGAACATACCTTTAGCATCAGTGTCATGAAGGGTTCTGCCTACATTTTCCTCTATGTATCTTATAGATTCAGGTCTGACATTTAATCTGTTTTGATCTGACCTTTGTGTCTGGTGTTAGACAGAGGTCTGAGTTCATTTTTTTTTGCATGTAGCTACTTTGTTTTCCCAGGACTGCTGCTCCACTTCATATTTTTTGCTCCTTTGTCAAAGATTAAATAATCATATATTTGAGGGTCTGTGTTAGGATATTTAACTCTGTTCCATTAATCTGAGGGTCTGCTTTCCAGCACCATGCTGTTTTAATTACTACTGCTTTGTAACACAGTTTGAAGTTGGGGAAAGTGATGCCTTCCATCTTTTTCCCACAGATTGCGTTAGCTACTCATGGGAGTTTATTGCTCCATAAGAATTTCAGGAGTGTTTGATCTATTTCCTTGAAAAATGTCATGGGATCCCTGCAGTGACTGCATTGAATCTATATAATGCTTTGGGGAGTATTGGTGATGTTAATCCTCCCAATCCATTAGCAGGGGATGTGTTTCCATTTCCTCATATCCTCTTTCTTTAGTGTCTTGTAGTTTTCTTCATATAGCTCTCTCACCTCTTTAGTCAAGCTGATTCCAGGGTACTTGGTTTTTCTGAGACACAGTTATGGATGGGTTTTTTTTTTTAATGTCTCTTTCATTATTTGTATATAAGAAAGCTGTAGACTTTGACATATTGATTTTGTACCTGCCACATTACTTTACAAATCTGTTGTTTCTAGGAGCTTTTTTTTGTAGAGACTTTAGGATTTTTTAAATATAGTATCATGTCATCTGCAGATAGTGAGAGTTTGACTTTGATCCTTCCCTATCTGGATGCCTTTGATATCTTTTCTTGCCTAATTGCTATGGCAAGTACTTCCAGTACTGTATTGACTAGAAGTGGAGTGAGTGGGCAACCTTGTCTTCAGTCTGATCTTCGAGGGAAGACTTAGTTTTTCTTCATTGAGAATAATGCTTCCCATGGGGTTGTTGTGGTAGATGGCTTTGACTATAATGAGGAAAGTTCCTTCAACTCCATTTTGTTGAGAGTTTTTATCATGAATGGGTGCTGGATTCTGTTAGATGCTTTCTTTGCATCTATCGATAACGATCATCTGGTTTATATCTTTTACTGATATGTACTACATAGGAAAAATCTTTTTTCTCATTAAAAAACTTATTCTTAAAGATTGACTTGCAAACGTTAAACCAACCTTGCAGCCCTGTGATGGGATCCTACTTGGTCGTGGTGTATGGTCTTTTTGATGAGTTGTTGGATTCTTTCTATTTTCTAGTATTTTGTTGAGGATCTTTGCATCTGTGTTCATCAGGGATATCAGCCTGTTATTCTGTTTTTGTGCTGTCTCTGCCTGCTTTGGGTATCAGGGTCATGTTTGCTTCATTGACACTCTGTTTGAGAGTGTTTCTATTTCTTCATTTTCCTGGAGAAGCTTGAAAAGGATTGGCAATAGATACTCTTTAAAGGTTTGAAAGAATTCACTACTGAATCCATCTGGACCTGGGCATTTGTTTGGAAGACTTTTTGATTACTATTTTAATTTCTTCTGTTGTGGTAGGTCTGTTCAGGTATTCCAGATTTTCATGGTTCAGACTTGGGAGGTTATAGGAGTCCAGGAATTGATCTTCTAGGATTGACTTTTTGATTACTGTTTTAATTTTTCTGTTGTGGTAGGTCTGTTCAGGTATTCCAGATTTTCTTGGTTCAGACTTGGGAGGTTATAGGAGTCCAGGAATTGATCTTCTAGAATTCTTCTAGGCTCTCTTGTTTTGTGGAGTAGATTCTCAAAATAATCTCTAATGATCCTTTGAATTTTTGTGGTTTCTGTTGTGATATTCTTCCTTTTCATTTCTGATTTATTGGGGTTCTCCCTCTCTTTGTGAGTCTTGCTAGTGGTTTATTGATCTTGTTTATTTTTTTTTTTAATAAAGCCAGCTCTTGGATTTATTGATCATTTGGAATTTTTTGAGGGGGATTCCAGCTCATTAATTTCCCTCTTAAGAGTTACTGTTTTCCTTCTCATGCCTGGTTTGTACTCCTTTTGTTGGTAATTTTCCTAAATCTTAAGCTGTAAAGTTGAGTTATGTGGGCCCTTTCTTGCTTCCTAATGCATGCTTGCAAAACTATAAACTTTCCTCGTAACACTGCTTTTGCTGTGTCCCATAAGTTCTGGTAGCTTTTGTCCTCATTTTTGTTTCCAGTAGTCTTTTGGATTTTCTATCTGACCACTGGTTGTAAGTAGTGAGCTGTTTAATTTCTAGGTGTTTGATTTGATTCTCTGTTTTTGTGGTGATTAACTTCTATTCTCAGTGCATCATGGTCTGAGGTAATAGTTGGTACAATTTCTGTCTTCTTGGTTTCATGGAGGTCTGTTTAATGGCACAGCATGTGGTCTATCTCGGAGAATGTACCAAGGATTCACTGGCTTTGGCATCTCTTATGAGGTTACTCATGAAGCTGGGCAGTTTATATGCTGGAGCCTGTGGGTTATGGGTGTGGTTGCTGGGACTTAGGGCAGGGCGGAGACTTGACCAGCCCCCTCCTAAGAAGGCCAGTCAGTCTGAAGACCAGTGTACGTGGGAATAGCATCAGTTTGGCATCTCTACTGAGATTAGTCCTGTAAGGATTTTAGGACTAACACTCTTTGTACCATATAGTATATTACTCTTTATAATGTACTCTTTGTCTTATCCTTACACTCCTTCCCATGAAAAGGAGAAAACTTAAGTTTGGGAAATTCATAGACTAATCAAAGAGTCTTTCAAATCCTGATTATTTAGCTTATGTTTCTTTACTACTTTAAATCAGAGGTGACGATTATTTGGTATTGTGCTATTTGGTTTATGCTAAGATTAACCTTTAAATTATCAAATAAACCCTGGTATGATGTTTTCATTTTTATTTATATTTAAAACATTTTATGTATTTGTAGGAAATTTGTATCGCAAAACACAAAGAAAAATTCCAGCAGCGCCTTCGGAGTGAAGATGAATACAGAGCCCATCATACAGTACAGCTAGTAAGTTTGGACTCTTGGAAACTTAGTTTTTAATGTGTGGAAATGAATTAAGTACAGAGCTGTTCAAATCCTTATGTTAGCACATACATAAACTTCTTAAGTGTAATTTTAACAGTATGTGGAAATACAATTCCCGTATGTCTCATACATGCACAGCCTCCCCTAACGTCCAAAATTCTCAGTAGTACATTCATTATGATCAGTGAACCAAGATTAACACATCATTATCACCCAGAATTTAGTATATACTAGAGTTTGTCCGTCCTTCCTTCCGTCCTTCCTTCCTTCCTTCCTTCCTTCCTCCCTCCCTCCCTCCCTCCCTCCCTCCCTCCCTCCCTCCCTCCCAGTTTTGGGGGGCGGGGAAGAACAGCAGCACATAAAGTGTCATAAAGTGTAGTGAGGTCTTTTAGAAGCTAGAAATAGCAGAGTTAATTTATGACTTTTATTTTACATGCTTTTATGGGTCAGAAACAGCTTTGTAAAGTTAATCTATGGGTAGACTTACCAAGTGAATAAGAATGCCTTCGACTGTCACCATCAGTACCTGTTCTATCAGTTTGTTACTGAGAATCTGCTAGTAGAATTTATTCTTTGTTATATGAAGATTTTAGCTGCTAAGGAAATGCATACACTTCCTTTGGTAGAGAGAATAACCATTTAGAATGACTATTGGATCCTTTGTTTTTAGTGTCTTATGGGAGTTTTATTCAGGAATAGAAATAGGAAATTACTGGGACCAGAGAGATAATACAGTAATAGAGCACCTGCATTGTGTGTGGCTGACCCAGATTCAATACCTGGCAGTCCAGATGGTCTTCTGGTCCTCACCAGGAGCAGTCCCTGAGTGCAGAGTTGGTAGTAAGACCTCAGAGGTACCAGGTGTGACTCAAACCCTCTTCTTCTTCTTAGTTTTTAAACCCCTGCCCCGCAAAAAAGGGGGGTGGAATAGCTATTTAGGGGAATCTTGAAGATACACGTCATCATCTGCCGTATAGTTTTGCTGAGTACTGGATTGGGGTTGAATAACTCATTGTACAACTAATCTGTTGACCGTGTAGTCATCTATAATATGCACAGCTAGAGGAAAATGGCAGTTGGCACAAATAAAAATTTTTTAAAAGATCATTGTTTTTCAAAGTTTTTCTTAAACTTATAAAGATATCTTGGATGATAGATTACTTAAATAGATGGGTTATTTAAAAATGTAGTTCCCTGGAGAGATAGTATAGTGGGTAAGGTGCTTGTCCTAGTACTAGGGAATCCAGGTTTGATCCTTGGCTCCACATATGGTTCCCTTAGCCCCACTAGAGTCAACACTGAGCATAAAGCCAGGAGTAAGCTCTGACATGGTGTGGTTCTAAAACCAAATAAAATAAAATTTAGCTTTCTATATCTTGCTGTTTCAACCCTTTTTTCTGAATATCCTTACAAAATTTAAACATGTAAGACAAGGGAATTAATTTTAATATTGAATAGTAAACTCTGTAGAGCAGAATACTTAACCAAAATGTAAAATTGCCCTTTTTGTTATGTCAGAGACAGATAAGAGGAGAAAATAGTGGTTAGGAAAAATCTTTTTTCTCATTAAAAAACTTATTCTTAAAAGGCCAGAGAGATAGAACAGTGGGAAAGGCACTTGCCTTAACTGTAGCTGACCTGGGTTCAATCCCCAGTACCCCATATGCCACCTCTTGCCCCACAGGAGCACAGCTAGGTATGGCCGGACACCGTAGCTCCCCCCCGCCCCCCAATTTATTCTTTAACAAGTCAGGGATTTCATGTTTTAAAAATGTATAAATGAAATATTATGTATGGAAACCATCATAACTTTTTTTTAATCCTGTTGCTTCCTTTTTTCACGAGAGTTGCTTCCTCCATGCTCTTAAAAGTTCTCTGTCCAGTGACAGATGTCATCATTTTCAGAAAACACTTCAATAGGAAAACCTTTTATTTGATACATAATAGAAAAATAAAAGGGCCAGAGAGATAGTACAGGCAAGACTCTTGCCTGTGACCAACCTGGTTTTGATTCCTGGCACTACTTATGGTTCACAGCACTGCCAGGAATGATCCCTATATAGTATACAACTAAACCAAATGACTTTTATATTGCTAGAAGCAATTTTATTCCAAAATTTCCTCATAGTATGTAATATATAAACTACTTAATGGTCTCCAAGTATATCTTTAAGGTCAGTTGTTAAGAGCTAGAAGGCTATAACAATTACATGTATTTCACACAAATGGCTTAAAATAAATTGTTTTAAGCTAGAATCCCATAGAAGAAACATTTAGTTAAAAGAGTATTTTACTTTTGTGACTTACACATTTTTTACAGTAAATGAAGAAAAATGAAATGACGTGAATTTGAAGAATAATGATTTCTGCTCAGAACTGATAGTGTTCATGCTATAAAACACTTTAATTCCTCATTCTTTGGAGTCATCTATTTTATTAGAAGAAAGCTTTTTTCCCCCAGTTAACAGTAAAAATCAATGAGGTAGATAATGTATTTATTGAGATAGGTAATGTATTTATTTTCAACTTTCTGCTAGAAGAGAGAAAAATTACATGATGAAGAAGAAAGAAAAAGCGCCTGGGTTAGTCAAGAAAGACAGAGAACACTGGATAGACTTCGAACTTTTAAACAGGTAATAAAAGTATGGTTAATCTATTGGTTTTCATTGTTTTTAAATTACTTTTAGAAGTTTTTATGCACATTTCTTATTTAAAGTTGTTTTTATATGAGAAAAAATTGATTTTTTTCTTTTGCAAAGTAATTATAACCATAGCATTACTTTAAAAGAATTTTATAAGGTCCAGAGAGATAGTATGATGGATAAGGAGCTTGCCTTGCACAGGGCCCACCCAGGTTTGATCCCCAGCATCCCATATGGTACCCCAAGTGCCACCAGGAAAGATTCCTGAGTGCAGAGCCAGGAGTGACCCCTGAGCATTGTTGGGTGTTACCCAAAAACTTAAAAGAACCAAAACAGAAACAAAAAAAAACACTTTGGCAGCATGACTACTTTTCTACTTTGATTGTTTTTAGAATTATTGTTTTTATCATCCATGACCTGCCACTGTAGTGGTATCAGTGAAATGGTCTCCAGAAAGCCTGCTTTCTTCCTTATGTATCGGTCCATGATGGTAATCTGGAAATGACTAGTGGCTGAATTAGGGATTGGATATACACACATGAGAAATATTCAGAAGTCCTTTATCAGCCTTGTCACTGATAGAGCATTTGAACATTTCCTTGGAACTTGGAACTATACTTAAACTGCTTTGTTACAGTTGTTAAAGTGCTCAGGAATCTCTCTAGGGTCTGTCTGATGGATCATTTTATAATCAAGTTCTTTTAATATTAAACAGTGGAGTTTCAGACAGGAAAATGGTCCTTAATACAAGGGCCCCATTTTAAGAAACATGTCTCCCAAATACCATTAATGCTGTGGTTTTACTGTAGTAAAAGATAAGTTTGGTATCAGGACACCAAATATTCTTATTTCCTCACCTACTGTTCTCTTGGAAAATGCACACATTTTCAGAGTTTTCTAATTGGCCATGTAACATTTGCAAAGGAACATTATAATGTTTTAAATTTTCATCTGTGAACGATTGTAAATACATATAAGAAAGAAACTAATATTTTCTTAGCTTTCTGGTACCAGTAGCACATATTTGTCCCCCTTTATGTATTTAACATTGCTGCTGCAAATTTGAATTTCGTTGTAGTTATTTGAAATGTGTTGGACTTCGGGGATTTTTGTTTTGTTTCATTTCGGGGAGGGACGCACATGGAGCAATGAAGGAGGAAGGGGACACCCGCCTAGCCAGCCAGATCGGCCAAATCAACCCTGGCGATCAATGGGGTGACAGATGTCGCAGCCAGATCGCCCTCACATCTGGCTGGAGCAATAGCACGCTGGCTGGAGCGATAGCACAGCAGTAGGGTCTTTGCCTTGCGCACAGCCAGCCCAGCTGAGCCGGGTTCGATTCCTCCGCCCTCTCAGAAAGCCTGGCAAGCTACCGAGAGTATCTTGCCCGCACGGCAAATATGCCATACAGAGTAACAACAAGTCTCAAAATGGAGACGTTACTGGGCCCACTCGAGCAAATCGATGAACAACAGGAGGACAGTGTTTGTTTTGTTTTCATTTCGAGGCCACACTCAGTGATGCTAAGGTGTTATGCTCCCGGCTCCTGCGCTCAAGAAATACTCCTGGCATCACTTGAGTGACCAAATGGGATGTCGGGGATTGAACCCAGGTTAGTTGTGTGCAAGGCAAATGCATTATCCATTGTACTATCTTTCCAACCCCTAATGCTATGCTTTGTAATTTGGTTTTCTGTATAACTTTACTAAAAAATTTTCCCTGAGAAAAGGGCTGGTACACACCTTGCATGTGTGAGGTCCTGAGTTCAGTCCTCCTGGTATTGTATAGCTCTTCTGGGGGCTCCTAAGCACTGCCAGGGTGGTCCAGGTAGCTCCCAGCATCACTGGGCAAAAGCAGCATTGTATCACTAGGCCCAGGAATTGGCCAGGTATTTCCTGGAATGGTCACCAGGGCTCCTGAGCATTGCTTCCAGAGGGCTTTCTTTAAAAAAAAATTTATTCCCTCTGATTATCACAAAAGTTCCAAAATAGCATACTACATTTGAAGGAGAATATATCCACTTGCTAAACATTATTTAAGTACAATTTAACCAATTATAATAACTCTCATTTTTCAGAGGTACCCTGGCCAAGTCATACTTAAATCAACCAGATTACGACTGGCTCATGCAAGAAGAAGAAGCACAGCCAGTCCAGTACCCTGTGAGGACCAATGTGACTCTCTACCAGGAGCATTACAAATAGAAGAGAATAGTGAAGAGGTAGAGGAAGGAAGAGGCAAGCTTGGGTCATCACAGATAACAGACACCCAAAGCCTTGCACAACTTGAAGATACTTCATTAGCACAACTTGAAGCTACTTCATTACCTCTTGGTGGTGTCACCTCTGAATTGCCTCCCACTTCACCTCTTCCACTTTTAAGTAATACTGATCTTGAACCAGCTTCTGCCACCATAGATTCACTCTCACCACCTCCTCCTCCAACACCACCTCCACCACCTCCTCCACCACCTCCCCCACCCCCCCCACCTCTACCTGTTGCTAAGGACAGTACCCTAGAGACACTGGAGAAAGGTCTGCCGAAGATGGAGGGGAATGAGAAGAGGATCCCCAAGTCTGCAAGTGCCCCCTCAGCACACCTCTTTGATAGTAGCCAGCTGGTCAGTGCCAGGAAGAAGCTCAAAAAGACTGCTGAAGGTTTGCAGAGAAGGAGAGGTAAGTTAAGCATTTTGTGTTCATCTGTCGAATTAAGTTAAGCATAATCAAAGGATTTTTTTTTTTTAACTTCACAGGACTCTACAGAGCTGAAAATTATCTTTGAACATTATTTGATAGTGAACAGGTTTTCATGGTCACTGTAGGGTAAAATTCATACCAACCACATTTACAAATGTGTGTAGACACAGAAATGCATGCTTTCTTGTGTAGACATTCAAAAACATATTTTTAAGTATTATGTTTTATGGGCTGCAGTGATAGCACAGCGGTAGGGCATTTTTGCCTTGCACAGCTGGCCCGGCCGAGCCAAGTTCGATTCCTCCGCCCTTCTTGGAGAGCCCGGGAAGCTACCGAGAGCATCTCTCCCGCACGCCAAAGCCTGCAGGACGTATTCAGTATGCCAAACACAGTAACAACAAGTCTCACAATGGAGATGTTACTGGGCCCGCTCTAGCAAATCGATGAACAACAGGAGGACAGTGCTACAGTGCTATGGTTTATAAAGCTGTCAACAGTTTTAGGTATTCATTATTACAAACCCTAAACCCACTACCAGTGGTCAGCCTCCCTCCACCAGTGACCCAAGGTTCTCTGCCTTTTCCCATCTAACAAACGCTTTCTTTAAATGAATTCTAGTTTATAGTTATAGTATATAGATCTTTCATTTTACATAGTATATTACAGTTTATAGTTTTGAGTTATGTGCTTAGACTAGTTTTGACTTTTATATATAGTTATTTCCCTTTACACCATCAAAATGTTTAAAACCCTTGACCAGTGCTCTTGTTATTGCCAGTCCACCTCTTCATTTCCTTGCCTCCCTGCTGCCCCACAACCCCTCTTTCTTTGGTATTCTCATTTCTATAATTCAGGGCCAAGGGGTTTACTTAGGCATTTTTTTAAAAAAAAAAGTATATCCTGGGATGGAGGGACGGAGGGAAAGAAGAGAGAGGAGGGGGGAGAGAGGGAAAGGGGAGGAGAGGGAAAGAGAAAGAAAGAAGAGAGAGAGAGAGAGAAAGAGAGAGAGAGAGAGAGAGAGAGAGAGAGAGAGAGAGAGAGAGAGAGAGAGAGAGAGAGAATAGGGGCTTAGGCATTTGCCTTGCATACAGCCAGTTCTGATTTGATCCCATTCAATAAATGTCCCCCAGGTACTGCCAGAAGTGATCCATGATAAGAATTGTCCCCAAAACCAAAGTGTATATTCTGAACTGATACATGATATTTTGGGCAATACATAGTAGGAGACTCCTTTGTGTTAAAAATATTCTTAAACTTGCAAAATGTTTCAAATCACAAACTACAAAGCATCTCGTCAGGACTGTCATATTAGGTTAGCATTGGCAGAACCATATGATAATTGGACACACGACTATGGAGGACCTGGGGTATATTTTGTATAAAAATGTATAACCCACTTGGTATTTGAATTTAGGGTACACTGGGCATGCTCAGGCTGCTTCACTTCCTGTATAAGGGAAATGACAGAACACCAGTAGGTTTCAAGTTGGGGTTTTGTTTTAAGCAAAACAAACAAAAAAACCATCCATTTTCTGGCAGTCTTCATATCATGAAGCATTTTGTAGATGCTGTTTTCCATGCCCCGAGTTTACTATCCTAAAGTCTAGAGCAGAGGTTGCCAAGCCTATTTGGTCTACTGCCCCCTTTTCAGAAAAGTGCCCCCCCACCCCGATTCCACCCAAGACTACTACCTGCCCCTACCCCCCCCCCCCCCCCCCCACACACACACACACACATACCACCACCACCACTATTGATCCAGGCATGACTCTCCTCTGAAGAGGAGTAGGGAGAACACAGTATGATCCCTTGGGAAGCACTGTTCTAGAGATTATGCAGTGTGATCCTAACTGAAATTTTTGTTTAATTTTCTGTAGTGAGCTCACCCATGGATGAGGTGCTAGCTTCCTTGAAGCGTGGTAGTTTTCATCTGAAAAAAGTTGAACAGCGGACTCTGCCTCCTTTTCCTGATGAAGATGATAGTAACAATATCTTGGCACAGATAAGGAAAGGGGTAAAATTGAAGAAGGTACAGAAGGAAGTTTTGAGGGAATCCTTCACACTTCTGCCCGACACAGACCCTCTAACACGGAGCATCCATGAAGCTCTTAGAAGAATCAAAGAAGCATCCCCTGAATCAGAGGATGAAGAGGAGGCGCTGCCTTGCACAGACTGGGAAAACTAACAAGTAAATGTTATTTTCTTATTTGTCTTAATTGTCCTATTTTGTCTGTAATGTATTACTTGTCTTCCTCAGTAGTACTCAGCAATATGGCTATTATGTTGGGTGATGCGGTATTATTAAGTCTGAGGCTATATTATCTATTTTGTAGCTTAAGTTTAGCATCATCATAAACCTATAAAGTACAGGCTTTATTTCCATTGTTTCTAGAAATTTAACAGAAAACTACTTCTGGAAAGTATTGTTATTTAGATGCTGTGTTTTTAATATCCTGCTCATTGAGATTTTCTACAATATGCAGATGAGCCTGGTTTTGGAAAACTAAAAGGTTCTTTCAATTGAAGTGGTTATAAACTATTATGAATATTAAATTTTAATATATTGTTAGCAGCCCAAAGGGGATTTTCTAAGACCACTCATGAAATAATATATTGTCTGTCTATTTGCCCTTAAAAGTCTTTAAGACTGGTTTGTTGGGTCAGAGGGTAGTTCAGTGGACCAGAGCACGTGCTTCACATACAGGAGGCCCAAGTTGGATCCCTGGTACCACATGGTTCCTTGAGTAAGTTATCTTTAGCACCATCAGGTGTAGACCAAAAAAGGAGGGGGGGGGGAAAGACAAAACAACCACCTATACTTTATTAAATGAGAATTTATCACATCATCCAGATAGTGATTTCCACAAACCACTGATGAGCCACAGTTATCAAAAGGTTGAGGCCACTGTTCTAGAAAAAATTGCAACTAACATAAATTTAATATAATATACAAAAATTATACACATATTTTACAAGTATTCCTGTGAATACCAGCATGTACTTGGCAGACTCTTAAAGTAATAGAAAGCTGTATTACACATTTTATATGCTAATTATATATTAGGATGGCAAAAAATTAAAATACCATCCGTAAAGATACCACACATACTACAGATTGTATATTGGTGAATAACATAAAATTGATCATAACTGAAACATTGGAAATTGTACAAAATATATGTAAACAAGTCTATTATTATGTTGTCAATAATTTCATTAATATCTATAGACTTTACAGCATTTAACAAAATGGGAAGACAGTCTTAGAGCGAGTAAGTAAAGGATTAACTTACTCAATGACAGTGATTCTTAATGTTTTTCTGTGTATGTGTGTGTTGTGTGAAGAGAGTTTGTAATGATATGAGGGGATAAGTAAGGGAGATGTGAAGGGGGAGTAAAGGAGAAGTGTGTATTCAGGAGAGAATACAGACTTCTCCAGAGTGGAAATAAACAAGCAAAGAAATACCAAGACAAGCAAGATTCTTGTTCAAGGGAGAACAAGCCGGTTCTTGAAGAGCAAGCCAGTTCTTAACATTCTGTGAATAATTTCCTGAGGAGTACTAGGGAAATAGTCCAAAGGACTTTTGTAGATTTTTTAAATTTGTATTAATTTTTAAAAATAGCGTGAATAATTCAATGCCTGAAACATTTAAAAATTAACAAAAAATAGGTTGATCTTACAAGTAACAATTGACTAAGAGGAGAGGAGAATTAAGAAAATTTTAAGGAGTATATGGCAACAATACTCACTGGTGAATTTTAAAGATGCCATTTAATAGTTATTATGAGATTGAAGCAAATTTTCATTCGTAATATATAGCTTTTGACATGCAATGTTAGAATAAAAGGAAAAAAATCTAAGCTAACTTTTTAGCAGTGATCGAAATCTGTATTAAAGTTATTTTTTCAAGAAAAGCCTGGGTGCTAGCGAGGTAGTACAGGAGATGAGGTACTTGCCTCCTATGCAGCCACCCCAGCTGCAGCCCCTACAGCAAATATGGTTCCCTGAACACCAGTAGGGGTCACTCCTGAGCATAAAGCCAAGAACCGTCTCTTTGCACCACCAGATATGGCCCAACACCCCATCTTCCCGACAATTATTTTAAATATGAAAAAAAGAGAACACAGCCTTTTTATCAGTGTCTTTGTGCATCATCTATATGATTAGCTGTTTACGAGGAAAAAAGTGCTTACTCTAAACATTGCAGAAAATGAGGTAGTATAAATATTTATGGGCATACATATATATTTACATGTATATGTCATTATCTTTAATGGGGCACCCTTTTAAAACTGTATTATTTTGTTTATAAACAGGTGTCTTAACAGAAAGAAGAAATACCTACAAAACAGTTGAAGATCAGTTCTTACTCTTTTGGAAAACAAAATTATAAGCATTTAATTCCAGATTGGATTTTATTAGGTCCAAAGTGTACTGGCTCAATAGTATGAAAAAAAGGAAGCACAATTGGCAAGTTAACACTTTCCTAGTCATTCCAATAGATGGTGGGTAAAATGAGTTTGAGATGTCTAATGTTCGTGGACTGCAATGAAGAAGAGACCTTCTGAAGATTCTTTTTGTAAAAGCACCTTCTGCTCCTGCCCACCCATTTACATCTTTATAGTGGCCAGTTAGTTAGGGGTCGCTATGAGTCAGAAGAACACTGGGTTGACAAACATCTACTGTGAGTTGTATTGTGACTGCTTTCAAATCTGTCTTTCGGTGCACTGAAAATCTGCTTATAAAATAACAGCTTCTTCCACCACAGTTATATATAAATAGTGTAACACTATGAAAAAAGAAGTTTATCGTGATGTCTGTAGGACAAATCGAAAGAAAATTGGATGGAATTGCACTGAAAATGACCACATTACTCATCTCCAAAGGAATTTTCATAATGACATTTTAGCAACACCTGAAAAGATAGCATGACCATGGAGATACACCTATTAATGTGTTTACCACAACATCATGCATTTAATATGACATATTTTTTAGAAGGCCACACACTCTTACACTTTGTATGGTTTCAAGGTAAAAATGTTCATGCTTTTAAATAGACCTTCATAATTGTGAACTTAAAATAGTTTGGATTTCAGCTTTATTTTATGAGAAGCAATACTCTGTAATTTGATTATATTTCAAATTATGTTTAATCTTTTTGTTTGAATTACTGCTTGATTACTATAAACAAGACTCTCCTATTGAGAATCAAAAGTTGGGATTCAGTAATAGGGATGCAGACCATAAATCTCTTTTCATGCACCATTTAAGTTTTTATTTTTATGCTCACACGGGAAGGGATGGGGGCATGTAGCTATGAGAACAGAGTAGATAGACAGAAAAGTCTCCTTGGCTGACATTTCTTTGTCTTCACATGCTTGAGTAGAATTTTGGAGAAAGCTTTTGTTATTGTCACTGAAGTTTTAATCATAAGTATGCAGCACTAGGTACTGATTTTGTTCATTCAGAGTCCAGAAGGCTATGCCTTTTTATGATTGGAGTCATTATGAATTCTCAGCAGGACTGCCTTGGGCTTGAATGCAAGTGGATATATTGGACCCAGTGTATAGTACTTTGTAGAGTATAATTTTGCATAAGACAGGTCTTGGCATTTAAATGAATGGAATAAAGGACTGAAGTACCAAAAATTTTATTTTTCATAAGGCAATTAATTTTCTGGCTTAGAGCTAGAAAGCATTTCCAGGGTGAAAGCCCTAAAGCATATACAAGTTGGCATTTTACCTACAGAAAAAAGAAACACACCTTTGTCACTTTAATATGTTACTGCCTTTAAACTTAAACTGCAGAAGCCTGGGGGTGGCTTGCTGGGGAAGCACATGCCTTGCATGTGTGAGGCCCTCCCTGGATTCAATCCCTAGGATGTTTTTAAATTTCAATAATATGTATGTATATTGATGAGACTAGGAGTTTGGCACAACTTTTCTCAGTCCGTGTAGTCTAGTGTTCCCCACATCTTGCCTAAAAAGATTAGGAACAATAGGTTGAGTATATAAACATGATACCCATTCCCTAATGGATGTGTTTTTTTTTCTTTACACACTCAGTTAAAAGCATACTTGTGTCCGAAGGAATGATTGGTTTGATAGTACATTTTAAACATTTCTGAAGAAAATTTGCAAACATTAACAAAATCATGTACTAATTTTATCCCTTTGATGTTTTGTTTTTCATATATTGGTATTTAGAAAAATTAGAATACAGTACTAAATCAACAGCAAAAGCAGTATACCTTTCATTTGTCAAAGGAATTTGCTCTGCTTCCATTGAAAGATGACTTCACTAAAAAAAGGGGGCCTGTGGTCTGTGTGAGCCAGCTTGTAATATGAATCTCTAGCAAATAGTGGAGAGTGGATATGAGAGTAGCACTCTAAGAAAGCCATCTCATACAAGAGAGTAAGTTGGTTAAAGCAAAGCCCTTGTCCTGGCTAAGAACCTTTTCAACACATCCATTTCCCAGATACAATTTCTGTTTCTACAGTCTTACAAAGAACTTTGGAGTTCTCACAAATAATGTTAATTTTTCAAATAATTATTGCCCCTGTCCATCAAGATTAGATTAGCAATTCAAACTCGTAACATTTATTTTAAAGCAGTTTCAAAACCAAATGATCTAAGCATGGTTTAATTTCCTTTTTTTGACTCCTGTCCCTAATAATGTAAGCATCTATGGCCTTAGTATTCATTTTGTATATATTTAGTTATGATGGTACTTACAAATGATCATATTTCTAGTTCCAGACTTGCCTGTACTATGTATATGGTTTTAAATATCTGGTGGTTATATTTCCATTAATGTATGATTTCTGTCTTAAGAATCCACAAACAGCTGCTTGTTTTAGAAATTAATTTACCAAACAAATCTAGTCTCAACTGCAGTATATTTAAGATAACAAAACAAATAGATGATGATGACCTGGGGATATTTAGAGGTTAATAGTATTCTCACTTGAAGGTAAATTTTAAATATTTATTCTAATGCAACCAAAATTATGTATATATAACCAAATGGGGCATGTATAGGAAAGGCATTTCTAATGATTTAACATCCTAATAGAACTTTAGTTTAGAAGTACAAGGAAATGTCTGGCTGAAGAGGATTTTTAAAAGATGACCAGTTGTCTTGCTTATTTGATGTATATTTTATAGCTGCCTTGATTTTGTGAGCAACTTAAAAACAATCATTCCTTAGTTTTCACTGTGGAACTGAAATATTTCTATAAAATGCATATTTAAGTGCTCAGCACAATAGCTGCAGGTATACCATTTCCACAGTGAAATGTGGGGCTTTTCTCAATACATGAAATAGAACATTTTCAGCATTTTCATGGATATTTTTTATTGGAATGGGGGGAAAAATCCTTGATTTTTAAAAATTGCTAACTATGCAGCAATATTTGTGAACAAGTGGCATGACCACTTTCTGTTATAAAATGTGTTAAATTATAAAGCACACTTTGGCCATATAGACGCTAAAAATTAAAACTTTTAAACCAGTGAAATAAAAAATAAGAGGCAGCATCCTTTCTTTGGAATGGGACCAATGTACAATAAAATTTTATATATTCCCTAAAACTTTATTTTTAAATTGCAACCATTGAGTGGGTTTAATTTTTTTTTCTTCATTTTTAGATTTTTAAGTCAACGCTTGTAGCCTAAGGGAAGATTTTTCTTTAGCTAAATACAAAGGTTTATTTTTGTTTTAGGGGGAGGGTTTGTTTTGGTTTTGGTTTTTTGGTTACTCTATAACTTAGGTCTTAAGCACTTAGTATCAGATCCGAACCTATTAAGTACTAATGGGTTCTTAAAGGCACTATCAGAGAGTTGAAATTTTATAACTTGACCAAGATATTTGTAGTCTTTTTTGAACAACTGTAAAACATTTAAAAATTGTGGGAGTTGTATTGTTAAAATTCAACAGTGAAAACAGAAACACTAACAAGTTTTACATGATTCTTGCACTGAATTTAAATGATAATATAAAATTTAATGTGCATTTTAAAAGATTTCCCATTTATTGCTTAGCATAGAAGAATTACTCTTAGAGGACTGGCCAGCAAGATGTATTTCAGATAAAAGAGGGGCAAGAAAGTAGAAGCACCTTACTGCTGGTGGGGGTGGGGTGGGGTTTGCCGCATTTATTTAGTGACACTGAACAATTCAGTAGTGATCTCTGAACTTTTCTGCAAAGTGCTCTTTAGCTAAAGCACCTAAAGAAGAGTCTGCTTAATTGCTTTGTAAAATGAAGCAATGATGTTTTTAATCCTATAAATATAGTCTAATTTAATTAAAAGTTTTTCCTACAGAATGAGTTTATATTGCTGCCTAAACTATCATGTATGTAAATGGAGGTTTTTTGTTTTTGTTTTTTATGATAAGGAGTAGTCTGGATTCAGAGAGAGAGCGAGAAAGAGAGAGAGAGAGAGAAAATGTGTGTGTTGTTTGCTTATGAGTTATTTCAAAATGAATTCATTTAAGAATTTCCCCTTTGCCCACAGTAAATGTAAAGCTTGATATTTAAGAATTTAATTGATTGAATTCCAAATTTTAACTGTTCCACCCCACTCTAAATACATTTATTATGCCACTGTAAGGTGCATGTACAGAAGATACTTCTGTGGTTGACATTAAATGTTTTACCAATGTTATTTCACACTGAATCTCAAGCAGTCTTTCATTTTGAGAGTCAGGGAAAATTAGAGTTTTTCACTTTTGTTCTTAAGGTGTAGCTAAGCGCGGCTCAATTAAGGGATTTACAGATGGATAAGAAAGAGTTTGAAAGTGATTTTCAAATTAATATAAAAGGTATGGGTGTTGAGCGTAGAGTTCAGTTTTAATAAGGGAAGGTTTTTTTTTTAACTTATTTTAACTTGCATGTTCTATGGTTAAGTATTAAAGAGTATAACAAATTACTCTAGCTTTCCCCAATACTAAGTTCTATTGATTTTACACCTCCATAATCACAAAATGGCATTTCCCAACCAAGAGAGTAAACAGTACAACCCATATAGTGACTTCTGATGTTTCAGCTTGGACAGAAGCCCCATTTTCTTAGTGAATTTTCATGACATGGAATGGTTCTTGCCAAGTGTGAAACCATAATATTTAGTATATGAAATATTGAAGGCTACAGATTATTTTGCATGAATAAAGCCTACTGGCACTCATGAAACTGACAAGTTTTTTAGCCATTCTGGATAAATGAGAATTTTAATGGCAAACTGATACACCATTTATAGCTTTGTGCAATATTATAATGGTAGAAGCAAAACACTAGCACGTTGTGCTTGGCTTTTAAGGATGGCTTTAATACCAATTAAATGGACAGTGCACAATGTATTGTAAATGCCAACTTTTGCAAATTTACAATACTTAAACCTGCTCAGTTAACATTCTAAAGTATTAAAAGTACAAAGGAAAAACTAAGCAAGCATTTATAGCAATACTATGAAATCTCCAATAATTGTTTTGACTATTGCCTTTTGCTCTTTAGTGCAAATTTTCTGCATTGTAATTATTGTATTGCTTTGTATTTCATGTTTTTTACACTCATGACTTCAAAGTTAAGTACTTGTACACCAAGTATTGCAGTCACCTTTCTCTTGTACATGCAATGTAACAACATACAGTTTTGGTGCTTAACAATATTCCTTTTTTCATTAATAAAAGATATTTATTGAGTTAACCTGATTTTGTTTGCTTAAAATAGCTAGGCACTGGTGGTAGAGAATTGTTATTTCAAATAGTAGAGCATAGCAAGTTGTGGATTTGTTATAACTTGTTGCTCAGAATTAAGAGACTATCCACCTTGTACTTCTTCCTGACCACCGTTTGTAATAAAGTATATTTTAATTTGTGCTAGTAACAACCTTATTCATATGATCTTGAAACTACCTACCTTGTTTGGAAACTCTGACTTCCAAAATTGGAAAATGTTTAAGTGTCTTTCATTTTTACCAGTCAACTGGTGATTATCTAAATTGGGGAGATGATTGGGTTTCCACTTAAACACAGATCTAGCATAACTCTAACTTAGCAGGTAGTCTTTTTGTTGTTTATTTTGGGGGCGCCACCCCTGGCAGTGCTCAGGCTTATTCCAGGCTCTGTGCTCAGGGTCACTCCTGGGGAACCATATAGGGTGCTGGGGATCAAACCTGGGACAACTGCATGCAAGGCAAGCACCTTACCTGCTGTACTGTTACTCCGGCCCCAGCAGATAGTCTTAACCCAAAACTGTTTTGACACAGCCCCTACAAAAGAGCCACATGCCTTAGAGCTGGCACCCTTCATGGGACTTAGATAGTACACGCAGCTCAGCTCTAGGCAGGTGCCTCAGTTCCTGTGCACATCAGTTTGTCCTATGGTGTTTTAGCTTCTAATTTTCATTGTCCTCTTTCTAGTCTCAACATCCTGGGTAGCCCTCTCTGACTGTCTGGCCATAAAGCCAGTAAAATGTGACGGAATGGACACTTCCCATGGGTTGGACTTAATTTGTGACACTAAGAAATACATGTCAGTGCTACAAGACTTTTTGTGGGCCAATTTTGCACTGTGACGTCTCCATTTCACATGTTCATCTCATGCTTTTCTACTTGCACATTTAGCTAAAATGCTTTTTTTTCTCGACTTAACTACCTGAATCCTAATCACTGAATTGCATTTGGAAAGTCTTTATCAAACACTGAGAATAGGGAAATAAGAAAGATGTGGGGGGAAAATGCAGAATCAGATTTTATCTTCACAGTGATACAAATGTTACTAATCATTTGAAGCACACAATAATGGTTTAAGATATTGTCCAAGGTGACACTGAAATCAGTGGTGGCAGAAAACTGTCTTAACTGTTCATTCTAGGCTAAACTTTCTTGTGCTGAAACAAGTCCTCTGGTGAGAGACTTGTTTAACACAAATTTTCAAGAAGGATAAAGCATCAAAAGGCATTTAGATATGACTTCATATAGTTAAGAAAATCTCTACAGAGACAAAGTATGAAAAGTTACAACAAGCCCTTTGAAGTGTTTTGGGCACTTAAACAGTTGTTCAGTTGTCTATTCAACTGTCATCTACAAACATCTACTTTTGCACCTTTTAATTGGCTAGGTGTGTGTATATGTATATTAAGCTCTACTTTTTGGGGGTGCTTTGGATAATTAATGCCTTTTGGAGATTGGAGAAATCTTTCCGTTTTATGACATTAAAAAGATACTGCAAAACGGCATAGTAGTGAAGGAAAAAAACAAGGACACCTACTTGTGTGAAGTTAGACAAATCCTTTGTGCTTTAGCAGTCAGCGAAGTGGAGATGATACTCACATGATCCTGCAATCAGATGCCTGCATATAGGAGGGTGTGGCACTCACGTGTGTTGGCTGTTATTCTCCTGATGATGTGATTCAGAGTTCTTTACGAAGAGCCACAAAAATTGGAGTAATTTAGAAACTCAGGAACACTGGAAGCTAGTATAATATAAAGTATACTAGAAAAGTATAAAGACAGCAGTTACACATATTTTCTCATTCAGTAGAATTAAACATGTCACAAGGTTGACTTGTGCAACAGGCAACATTTTAGGTTAATGGCAACAAGCTTTCCTTCCTGTTTACTCCGTTGCAATAATTGGGTACTACTGAAAAATGAGGTTTCTGGTTTTTGACTATGAGAATGAAACCCGAAAGAAAATGAAGCCAAGCATAGAATACCAAAGAGATGTTATAGGTGTTGGGCTTGGAACAATTTTTTTTGTTTTGTTTCGGAGACACATTCAGCAGTGCTCAGAGCTTAATCCTGCCTCTGCTTTTGGGAATCATTTCTGGCAGTGGTTGGAGAACCATATGGGATGCTGAGGATCAAACCCGGGTCATCTCTGTGCACGGAAAGTGCCCTTCCCACTGTGCTCTCTCTCCAGCCCCTTGAAACATAACATGCTTTTATTAGTTTAATGCTCCCTCCTAACGTCCTGACATGACCAAACTGAATAAAGAACCAAACTAGAAAATGAGGGAAGAATACCAGAAGTTTGACAGATGCACAGGAGGTGATTACACTCAGTGAAGGTTACTGACAAGGAGGCAAATCTGCAGTGACGCCAGGCCCAGTGCTGAAGGTGCTCTGTTCTTTGCTCATGGGATGCCAGGAAAGTTATGATAAGCAGAATCTGGGTGGGGCAAAGTTGACCAGGAGCAAAACTCCCCAGTGCAAGGTGCTCACAGCTTCTTCTTGCTCTAGATAAAGTGACAGAAGCTCCATGTAGGAACAGAAGGGTTGGCAGAGTGGGGAGATGCAGGAGGCCTGAGGTTTTCAGAGCCCCCCAGCGTAGTAGCTCTGAGGGCAGAATCTGAAGACTTTTCACATAAAGGCCACAGAGAAAAGATGGTTGCTTGGGACAGGAAGGGCAGAGTACTAAATGACAAAGCTTACCTCCCTTTCCATCAACCTATCCCTACTTTTACCCTCAATAAAGAATAGAGAAAAAGTACAGAGAAAAAGGCAATTCAGTTACCTTTGACTTCATCCACAGGGTTAGAGGAGGGTGGGACAGTAGTCCCTTTATCAAAGCACCTACTTCATTCTCCATGATTCTACTGTGCACCTGAAAAGAGCTAAAGATCTGATCATCCTTTGATTTTTATAGAAAACATTACTCTTAAAGTGTCTAGGTTTTCTAGAAAATGGTCATTCTAGGAAAGTGACTCCTCAGCTCAGTAGCCCACTGATCTGACCGGTCCTCCTTTAAGGTTTATCAGTACACATGTGCCCCACGTGTAATGGAGTCATAGGTCAGGATTTACTAGAGCTCATGTGAGTGCTGGGGGATGGGTGGGCACACGTTAACAGCCACTGCACAGCTACTCAGCAGGCATGATAAAGGGGATCAGGAAGTAGCAACGGCAAGTGTGGGGGCCTCACCTGCCATGCCTGGGAGAGCACCCCTCTTGGCCATCTCGGAGGGCCACTGGAGGTAGGGGGTCAAATCCAGATTAGCTGTGTGCAAGCCAAGTGCCCTACTCACTGTACTACCCCTCAGGCCCTTTTGTTTGTTTTTTAATGCAGATGCTGGCCATGAGACTCAGCGGTAAAGTGTATGCCCTGCATGCAAGAAACCCGGGTTCGATTCCCAGCGACATATATGCACACACATGCACTCATGTCTCAGAGCTTGAGTTTAGGATCTAGCTCTAGCTGGAGTTTGGACTGTCCTTTCTCAGTGAGTCCTGAAGGAGCTTCAGTCATTACCTTGTCTAGCCCTCAGCTTCCTCCTTTTCCTCCTTTGGGAAGTTGTAGCAGAGATTTCTGAAATTCCTTCCAAATCTCATATCCTGTGATTTTGCAAGCAGTGCCAACTAAAATAGGTTTTCCAGGTGGCCTATAAAGAAAGAATTGTCTTACGGGCTTTCTAGTTTCTGAATAGGCCATTCAAAAAGGAGACAGGAATCCACGCCTGAGCAGCCGCATACGGGCCTGGGCAGGGTGAGGTGAGAAACTGGTATTAAGGGTCCCCGTGTGCTAAGCAGTGGGCAGGAGAAGAGAGAGGGGGACCACCGAGTCTCCGGGCACTGTTTTGTTCTCTGATTGACCTGAAACCAAATGAGAAATTCTTGTCCTACAAACTCATATATGCAACCTAGAAACAAACCAGCTTTCCAAAATGAAGACTATTCTTTGGGGGACCAGGAAGACTATTCTTTTGGGTCGAGTTACTACACTGCCCAAAAAAAAGTTGGTTCATATTTTTATTATATGCTGTCCGCTGTTTCTTTCAAGCCTTAGATGTTGATTCTTATAAGATGGGCATTAACCTGAGAAAGCCAGTTGTCCCATTTATATAAGAATATGTTTAATTAAACAAATTTATTCATGAGGGGGGGTGGTCTGCTCATGGAGGGAACACCAAAATGTTCCCTTTAATGAGAAACAATGTTTCTACACGCTTGTAGACATGACTACACATAATGCAGCAGTGCGTACTCTGGTGTCGACAATGGCACGCATCTGTGAAACATCAGGAGGAAGAAAAAGAACATTCCTGTCACCACAGTAACCTCCCATAACCCTCACATCCACAGGCAACGAGTGGTCTGCTGTCTGCTGTTGCTATAAACTGACGCCCTTCAACAGTTAACTTAGGGGCCTGTGGTTAGGGCACATGCTAGGTTCCTAGATATGACCTAACCCAGGTTTTATCCCCACATACCACCTGGTTCCTGAGCATCTCTGGGTATAGCTCTGGAGGCCCTGAGCACCAAGTACAGCCCTAGAGGTCCTGGATCCAAGCACTGGGCCACCCCAGGGCTTTCCCCAGTGGCCATGGCATACGTGGCCCTTGCTTTGAACTTGACCCAGTTGACCAAGAATGGCAGTGGGGCCTCCAAACTTCCATTTGGGACATTCCTAAAAATAATAAAATTAGAGCCTTGGAGATAGTACAGTGGTTAGGGCTTACACCTAGATATGCCCACCCTAGGTTCAATTCTGGCACTACATATTCCCCCAAGGATCACCAGGTGTAGGCCTGGAGGCCACCAGCACCGCTAGGGGTCCCTACCCAACCCCAGTACTGCGGGCCAGAGCAGCAGTCAGCCTGTCCTCACTCAGAAACCAGACAGAGCCTTTGGCTCGATGGCTGAGAATTGCTTCCAGGCTTCCTGAACACTGCTTGGGAGACCACCTCTCCTCCATGAATAAATTTGTTTAATTAAACAAATTCTTATATAAATGGAATGGGACAGCTGGCTCTCTCGGGTTAATGCCCATTGTGTTGCCCAGTGTACCCGTGGCTGGTTCCCTTTCATTGCCAAGTACTCTTGTATAGATGTGCATTTTGCTTATTCAGCATATTAATATGCATTTGGAAACCACCT